TTTACTTGCCGAGGATTCTGATTATCCAGGACAGAGGAAGGAGAAGCATACAATATAATATATATATATATATATATATATTGTTCTGCAATTTTCAGACCCGTAATTGCATTGCGTATTTATTTTTATCTCGTGAATTTTTAATAACCTTTGAGGAAAGCCGACGGTTTTTTTTTACGGGCAGATGTTCTGCAATTTTCAGACCCGTAATGCCGAGGATTCTGATTATCCAGGACAGAGGAAGGAGAAGCATACAATATAATATATATATATATATATATATATATTGTTCTGCAATTTTCAGACCCGTAATTGCATTGCGTATTTATTTTTATCTCGTGAATTTTTAATAACCTTTGAGGAAAGCCGACGGTTTTTTTTTACGGGCAGATCAAGCCGAGGGCAGACTCGAGTCGATTCGCAATATTATTCGCAACGATCACGACCGACGATTAGACACGCACTTGGGTAAACATCACTTTTACCACATCGTTTCGTCACTCGAGCGTCGACGGATTCACAGTCACGATATCTGGATGGAACGAGAAAGACAAAATGTGTCAAAGCAAAAAATCGCAATTCAATTTCGTTTCCGCGCATTTCGTTAGTCCCTCCCATGGCTCCGTTCCGAGTATCTCTGAGGAAACGTAACCTCAAAAATAAATAGCCATTCGCGCGTAACGCGCCGTCCAGGGGAAATGAGCTTGTGAGGGAATTCCAAAGAAATCTCAATTAATTTCAGGAAATTACGATGACGTGTCCCGCTCACCCGTTTATAAGGTCTTTCGAAAACTCCCGGTTCGATTGATTTCAGCCAACTTGACGATCAATCTACACCCAGACCCAAGAGCCTCTCTCTGTCGGTGAATCAAACACATCCGACACACCCAACCGGATGCGCGGCAGTCCTACACTGCTACCCACGTGTGAATACTTCGTTCTCCATAACGTTACGTGGAGAGGCGAGAGCCGTCGCTCCGAGTAAACGACGCGCGTGGATACGTCAGTGCGTTTCGTCACAGAATCCTGCTGGGCTTTGTACTTTTACACGCTCCGCATTTACACGGCACGACCCACGATGCCAGCTACGCTTGCCAATAATCGGACGGAATCGCTGGGCCTTCGGCAGGGGCCAGCAACCTGCGAGTCCTCGGATCTGGAAAGTGACAGCGACTGCACCTACGCGCTAGGCGGTCAATGCGGGGAGGAATAAAAACAGCTGCAGCATATACGGGACATCCAATCATTCAAGTAATCATTATATTAATCGGAAGATTCATTGAGGTAACGGGAACCCACATATGGGAGCCATAAATAACGCTTAGGGGCACACGTGAAAAGTGTGATATGTTAATTAGGAATTTATACGAGCCTCCCGAAGCTCCGATGGATAACAGCGAACGATAAGATAAACAAGCTGTTCCCGTATCGCCGGTCAATCTCGAACGAGCAGAAACGATAGCGTGCTCGAAAAACCGGAAGTGACCAAACGAGTCATTGGATTACGCGTCGAGCAAAGATACCGACAATTTTTTTTCAAATAGCATCGATCGTCTTATCAGGCTTGTAATTTGAATTCGAGGAACTTGAAAAAACTCCGGAATCGATGACAAGGCTGATTTCCATTTCCGGCGACGGGTCAAGGTCGACGCGTGACCAATGAAATTTGGCAAGTTATCCGACAAGGTCGAGAGGTCATACGTGGAAATGACAAATCGAGCGCGAAGCGGCCAGTCCCTTCCTCGATAGGCATCTCGTCTTCCCGATGCAAAACAAGTGAACGAGGCTTTAGAATGCAGCGAGGGCGCAGAGACCGAGGAATGTTGGAATACGGAATGACATCCGGCTGGCGGATCGTCACATTTCGAATCCCATCGGAATTCCCGCCAAAGGCTGTCCCCCCCCTCCCCGGCGGGAGCCCCGGTGGAATTTCAAGGAATCGCGAGGCCACGTGTACGGGGGCAAAGAAAGAAAGGAGAGAAAGAGTAAGTTGACGGAGGAGGTTATAAAAAATTTACATAACAGCACAGCAGGTACGGCGACGCTGGTAGCGCGAATTTGTAGTTTCATGAAAATTCATTGATCGACAGGGAGACGCGCGATTGGTATTTACGTATTTCGCGTGTACAAATGTTATGACTGTGCGTTAATGCAAATGCCTGACACGTGTGCAGCCAGTGCGGTTCGGATGCGACACCAGCGCCGCGCTTGAGGTTACGGATAATAATCAGAACGAAACGCAACGACCTCAAGCGTAAACGCAGATCCAGCCTCTATATGCCTGTAGCTATCGTTTGATCACGCAACGAGTAACGCGTACGCGAAGGAAGGCGAATCCAGGGATAAATCGCTGAACGACTTGAGAGATCAGCCGAGCGACGCGCAGCCTATTAGGAACCGATGACGAATTATTATTATTCTTTTACGAATCATTATTTTATCTTCCTCGTGTCAAATGCAAAATCATCGGTAATTTTCTATTCGTTATCGTCAAACTGCTTGACAGCCGTGTCACTGGCTGCAACCACCTGTCATTCAGATTTTTATCGAATCATTTCGACATCGAGATGACGGAGTCGATTTGTAGGTGAATGTCCTGCGGGTAGCAAGGAACGTTGATGCTTGACGGTAGAATTACTAGGAGGCGGGACGAGGGGGGGGGATTGCCAAGGAACCTGACCTGCCGATCGAATACTTTTAATCGGTCACTCCTTACACCGATTGAGCCATTGATGAGCAATTCCCGGAGGAAAATTGTTGACCTCCTACGGTAAACTGGCACGTTCTCATGGCTGCTATACGTGCGCTTACAGCTACACATTGTGTTACGAGTATATATATATATACTGGATCAAGCGTTTATCTCTGTCTAATCTGACTTCACCCTGTACCAAGGGCTGGTATCGTTAAGACGCTACATGCCATAATTCGCGACCTCGTGTTTCGCGGATGCTGCCTTAAGGTAGTAAGGCTCAGGGCGTCGGGGCGTCGAGGACGCGAGGAAGTCAAGGTCCCGAAGGCACCGGCACGTAACGTAGCATTAATTCGGCAAGAAGGCCGCTCTACGCTCGAGCGACCTATCCGCTTGCCGTTTGAATCAGCCGCTCGAGCGAGCATCGCCGTAATGACCAAATTGAAGCTGCCGTTCGGATCAGAAAACTGACCCGAGATGAGGTAAATTAATTACGCGACCCGTTCTTCAGATATCTCTACCACGTGACTGCCAACTTTTTTTTAGCAAACTATTTCGCGTAATATTCTCTACGATGTTGTAGCTCAACCTGCTACGATGATTCTTGGCTCTTTTTTTTTTTTCTGAATCCGACAACCTCGACGCAAGAGTTCACAGGGTCAAGCTGAAAAGCAGATGATTCGAACGGATCTCCTGCTGCGTCGTTTTTGCCCGACTGGTAAGTCGTCGCGTCGTCTCGTAACTAACGTGCCTTATGGTTGCGCTGTAGCTGAAAGATTTTACTGGGAAAAAGTGACTGGTGGCGCGTAAGTAGCGAGAACGACGTGACGATAGGGACGTCGGGACGTCGGGACGTCGGGACGTCGGGATGAAATTTCTCGCGCTCGCGTTTCAGGCCTTTCGGCCCGTTTGCAATAGCAGCTGTTTACTGTTTGCGCAGACGGCCAACACGTGTCGCCAGGACGCCGACGACTGCCCGACCGGACTGGCCGCCTCTCGCTCCGGCTGTGCACACGGATAAGACCCGTGGAAACGGGCGTCCCAGGAGATTCGCCGGTGGCCGAAATGAACGCCCCTCCGCGTTCGCAGTGCAAAGGAAGAAGGCATCGATCGTTCACGTTCACGATCCGTTGGAGCGAACGTGGACGAAAATGGTGTATGGGAGAGTCAAGGAGAGAAAAGAGAAGCAGGCAGGAGCTGCGGGAGAACAGGAACCGGTAGCGACTCTGCGAAGACCATCTCGTACGTAGTGGGAGGCTCGGAGCGCGGGGCAAATATCTTCCAGATACGCGAGGAGTTTCTGTAATAACTAAGCGACGTCTCCGAGAGGGAGACGACGGGTGGGAAAGGAAGGAAAGAGCTAAGGATCCGAAAGACCAAAAGGAAGAGATAGGAAGAGACTCTTGTTTCTCTTGTTTGCCTCGCGCAAACATCAGAGGGTCACGTGCACCGGCGGCGCTTGGCGTGACGCATGCGCACTCGAGAAACGGAAGCAGAAACGAAGGAGGATTCGGAGGCGAACGAGTGGAGGCCAAAGTGGATGACCTGAGGAACGGTCAGAGGTCGGGAAGGCGGATTAGAGGAAAAGTGGCGAATTCGTATATATCACGCGTGCATGGTAGTCACGAATAGAAAGAGGAAACCGGTCCTTTCCCATGCCTTTCGGATGCTGTACAAGACGCCTTAGGGCGAATCCACTAAAACAGATGTACCGGCTACACTCTCTTCCCCCTCCATCTCGTCGCCCTCTTCTCATCTCTCAAACTCATCCTGATACCGATTCCCCGTCCCACCTCCCACCCCTTGACCCACCGACCCACCCCCCTTGCCATGCCTTATGGCAAAACATGTTTTGGAATCTCGCGGAGGAATCGTGCGTCACGTCCAATTTGTTACACGCTCGGTTGGCATCGCTGAACTTGTTGAAGTTGTTCGATGAAAACGACCGATAAGTCGATGATCGATTCACGACGGTTGCGCAACGCGCCGCTCGCCTGGCGAACTTTTCATCCCCTTATGGACCACCCCTTGGGTACTACTGGCTATCGGTTCGCTGTCAGTCACGTTTTTTTTTTTTTTTTTTTTTGGGGAAATT